TAAGAAGATTGAGGGAAGCGATGAGTAGGAGAGTGAGAATATTGAAAGGAGTGGCATTGATCAAGATGCATTTCATTCATAAACTGCTTTATTAATGGTAATGTAAATGGTAGCTCATCTGTACAAGTAAAGATAAAAGAAAGTCAAAATACATGATCTAGAAAACAAATCACTTACCATTTTTTTGAGAGTTATTCTTCAAGAAAACATGAAGGAATTTATTAGAATTTTTCATATGAGAATTAAGAAACCTTAACTGCATAGATGAGCATAATATTTATAAATTATCTTAAAAACATTCTTTCCAAGTGATAAAGGATTCCAAAAAGGAAAGTCATGGGTTTGAAGATCATAGTAGAAAATATGTGGGAGACTTTGTGTGTGTGCTATTTGTATGCTATTTCTAAAACCTCTTGGGAATGGTTTTCTAACAGACCATTATATATGTATATCTCAGTTGAATTAACAGAGAATGTTCCTTGGGACAGAGTTCTTCATGGAAAATACAATTAGTTACCTGCTGATTTATACTGGAAGAAAGTATCTCCAATTGTTAGGTGTGTTTTTAAATGAATTCAATTCCCTGTTACTGACTACTTGTTATATCTTACTTATGTATCTATGTAAGAATGTATATATTTCACTTTTGATTAATAATATCATATTGCTACTCAGCACAGTATGGTGTTTGGATACATAATACTATGTTTTGATCAGCCAAGGATACTGAGGTTATCCATCATCTAGTTTATTGCTTATCTATGATAAAGATATTCAAAATCTTTTCTAGCTATTTTCATTTATATGATTTTTAAACAATTACCACCTTACATATAATAGAACACTAACTCTATCTTTCCTTGATAACTATGACTTTTCTAACCACTAAATAACTTAATACTAGTCATAAGATACTAGGTAGATACTAGTTCCTTATTGGACAAATAGATGGCAATTTCTTTTTCTAACCCTGTAGATAATCTGTTCACTTTACTGATGATTTCCTTGCTATGCATATACTTTACATAACTGACTTTTTCCTTTTGTCTCCTATGCTTTTACATTGCGGTCCAACGCTGAGATCAGTGTCACAGAGTATTTCTCCTATATTTTCTTCTAATACTTTTTTAGTATTAGGCTTTATGTTTAAGACTTTAAGGCATTTTGTGTTCATTTTTGTTTGTGATAAGAGTGATGGATCCAGTATCACTCCTCTACACACACATCCATTTTCCCAGTACCATGTTTTTAAAGGATTATGTCTTTGCTCATATGTATGTTCTTGTCATAATGATAAAAATTAGTTGATTGAACCCTAAGATATGTGTTCAAATGGTTTTTCTTTCATGTGATTGTTTCTAACACATTTATAAGATTATTTCTTTGTTGCTTTGTATGTCCCTCCCCCACGGTATAACCCCTTCTTTCACTGTATTTGATGTCGGTATAATTTGTGGAGGGGAAGGGAAAAAACAAATAGTTTAAATAGGGATACACGTAGACCCATTGCAACAATGAGATGTACAAGTCATTATGTCGAAAACGAACTTTACAACTTTGGTGGAGGGAAAAGGAGGATGGGAGGGGGAGGATGGGAAGGGATGGGAAGGGGAAACAAAGGAGGAGGCTACAATACTTGATAAGAAATGTACTCATTATCTTGCCCATGTAATTGTAACCCCTCTGTACAGTATTTTCACAATAAAAAATTAAAAAAATTATTTGATTGTGTATGAATTTATTTCTGTTTTTTTTCATTTGGCCTTTATGTCTGTTTATATGTAAGTATCATGCCCCTTTGCATCTTGCATTTTTTAGTGTATTTTGAATCCGAGGGTATGGTACTCCAGCTTTATTCTTGCTCCACATTGCTTTGTCTGTGAGTCACTAGTACCCACTGGTTTTACTTTTTAATATCAATATCTTTACCATCTGCCAGCTGATCCTTGGGTGGTGTCTCTTACACTATATTTCATTAATATGAGAATCACACTACTCTTACAACTGTCTGTAATTGGGAGCATTTGCTAAGTTAGAACTTATTGATAAAAACTTCTGAACTTTCAGCTACTTGAAATAATGAAAGTTTACTTTTCACTGATGCTACTTGTCTATCAATATAAAACTTTACATTATCATCTATCTGGATCGGAGTCCTTAAGGGCTCTCTGACTTTATTTTGGCTGGTAGAGGGAAAGAAAATATAGATCTTTAAGGTCATCATCAAGAAATGACCCACACAATTTCATTTACACTTTGTTGGGAAAACAAATTAAGCAACTGAGTGTGCATATAATAGGGCAAGTAAATACAATTCCATTGTCTCTCTAGAAAGAGGCGTGTGGGTATGTGTGTGTATGTGTGTGTGTGTGTGTGTGTGTGTGTATGGAGGGGGAAATCAAACATTTACGACCATCCACTTCCCACACATGAAAAATTCTCTTCAAAACATTGTAAGAAATAAAACAGGAGCTAGATAATATTTCTGTATAAATCTGCCAAATGTCTCAAAAGATATCTCTTAGAGTTTGCAAAAAGTTATGAACTAAACACTCTCTTGTGCTGTGTACAGAGACTGTAGGAATGTGGAAGGAAAGTATACAAAATTTGCAGTGCCATTTGGCACTGTATTTTAATGCTTAGGTTTTCTGAGAAATGTATAATTTGGGGTGGGAAGGTGGCTCAGTGGTGGAGTGCTTGCCTTGCATGCATGAGGCCCTGGATTTGATCCCTCAGTGCCCCATAAGCAGAAAAGAAAAAAGCCGGAAGTGGCGCTGTGGCTCAAGTGGTAGAGCGCTAGCCTTGAGCTGAAGAGCTAAGGGACAGTGCCCAGACCAGAGTTTAGGCCCCATGATCAACAAAAGAAAAGAAAAGAAATGTATAAATTTGAACCAGAAATACAATTTCTAAGTATATGAGATGACATTTTAAGCCTAATTCATATGTGTTGACTTCTTTATGTATTATTTATAGTGGTCAAAACAAAGAATTTAAATATTTAACAGTACAGAAGTGCCAAATGAATTTTGTATACCTGTGGGGGAAATTCAATTTGTAACTGTTTGAGTTATGCTTTCAGAAATATTTGGGTATATTTTAAGATTTAGTACACACAGAGAACAGATAAATCTATGAAAATAAATTATAAATTCTCTTGACAGAATATGGAGTAGTGCATAAACATTAAGAATAGTAATATAGAAAAATAGAATATATAATAGAATAGATAGAATAATATAATAGAATAATATAGTAGAAATATAGAAATGAAAAGAAAGATAGGAACTTGAGAATGGCAATCATGGATCTGACTGAGATATTCATGGTTTCTGATTTGCATTAAAACAGCTTTAGAAGAAGGTTTTGTGGAGGAAGGGGAGGGGTGTTTGGCTTTTGGATGTATTGAATTTGAAACGCATTACATGTATTCAAGAAGAGATCACAATGGTATATTCTACATTTGGAAAAAAATTTAAAATTACACCTGTGTTGGAAAACTACAACTGCTTTCATTTGCTTTGAGTGTGCTGTATTTATTTCCTTTGGAGAAAACTTTTAACCATTACATATTCAAATTATCTCCTTTTTCTATGTATTTAAAATATTGCATCTTAGATATACACGCATATATGAGCTATGTTTTGTTTTTTACGTTTTCAGTGATTTTTCTACTGCAGATCCTGCCCCTTATACTTCTGTTTTCCAGCCATATTTACTGAATGAAATCAAACCTCTAATTGTATTTCATGTTTTTTGTACTGCAAAAATCATCTATAAAATATATAAACTATATAAAATTATCTAAAATTTCTGAAATGCTTTACCTGTAATACTTGCTCTGTTGGCTAAAATATCACCTCATCTATGACCTTATATTGCCAACTCTGAATAATTATTTAAGAGCTTTAGGTTCAGGGTTACTTCCTTCAAGAACCAGAGATTTTCATCTGTGGAAATGTGAGATTTTTTCCCCCTCAGATCTGCTACTATATCACAAACAGCAAATGCACATTGAATGACTACATAAAATAAAGAGGAAGTGGCATTGTGGCTCAAGTGGTAGAGCGCTAGCCTTGAGCTGAAGAGGTGAAGGACACCGCCCAGGCCCAGAGTTCAAGCCCCACAACCAACAATAACCAAAAAAAGTATACAATGATTCATAAAATTAAGAATAAATCCACTCATATCTGTATGATAAAATTGTTATTAACAAATGTATTCATAGTTTTATAATTTAGGGGACATCACATATGCTTGGGATAGAATTTAGAAAAAAAAAAGCATTTGACAAAGGGGGAACAATGAGAAATAGTATCCATAGAAGTAAAGGGATGGGGGAGTATTGAGTGGGGGGGGGCGGGGGGAGGATGGGAAGAGATGGGAAGGGGAAACAAAGGAGGAGGCTACAATGCTTGATTAGAAATGTACTCATTATCTTGCCCATGTAATTGTAACCCCTCTGTACAGTATTTTCACAATAAAAAAAGAAGTAAAGGGATGGATTAAAAATAGAATTGGTGGCGAAATGTAGCCGATATGAGTTTCTAGAGGAAAATGTACACTAACCTAGCTTAAGGCCTGCCTGATTTGAGTCAAACTACATGATTAGAACAGTTTTGAAAGAGTACACATAATGGATCTTAGCAAGGATATATGAGTACAAAAGTCATTAAAGATTTGGATTCTGAGTGGAAAACTTTTGTTGAGATCCCCAATTATTTAATCATTAAAACACAGGCCAATCCTTAAGTAAGGAACAGAAAATATGTTTCTAGAGCAAACAGAAAACAAGTGGAAAGGTTAAACATCCAAATACTGTGACTCCTATGACATTGGCAGGCAGAAATTAACTTGCCTTGGACCAAAGCAGCAGAGTGCATGTAAGGACTTCAGGGTGGCCAAGGGATTTGAAATTAACCAATAATATGGTCTTTTCATTTATCTTGAATAAAGGGAGAATGCTTTCTCTGTTGGTAGAAATCAACAAAACCATGAGAGCCTAGACCATAAGAAAATCCCTGAAAACATTAGCTCTATTTCAGAGGATGATGTCTCTGATGATGTCCTCACAATGGTGTACTTCCTATTTCTTACAGAAAAAGATTCTGGACATCACCCTCTTGAAGGCATCCTTCATGTCTTTGTTTCTAAGGCTGTAGATGAGTGGGTTCAACATGGGTGTGATGATCCCATAGAAGAGAGAAACCATCTTTCCCCAGTCCTTGGAAGTGGATGAAGGTGGCTGGAGGTACATATAGATGCCTGTTCCATAAAAGAGAGACACAACAATCATGTGGGATCCACAGGTCCCGAAAGCTTTGCGCCTTCCTTCTGCTGACCTGATTTTTAATACTGTTTGAGCTATGAAGCCATAGGAGATGAGAATCAATGTCACTGGAATTAGCAGAATTAAGACACTGAAGAAAAAGAGCTCAGCCTCAATAGGCTTAGTGTCAGCACAAGACAACTTGAGAAGAGCAGGGACCTCGCAGAAAAAGTGGTCCACCTCCCGATGACCACAGCGCGGCATACTCAGGGTTAAGGAAGACTGCAACAGAGAGTTACTGAATCCAGTGAGCCAGGAGAAAGTTGCCATCCTCAGGCAGAATGCTGGATTCATGATGACTACATAGTGGAGAGGTCGACAAATGGCCACAAATCTGTCAAAGGACATGACCACCAGGAGGAGACATTCAGTAGCACCCAAGGCCAGGAAGATGATGAGCTGGGCCACACAGCCACCATAGCTGATGGTATTTTTGTTGTGACAAATATTTGCCAACATATGAGGGACTGTGGTGGTGGTGTAGCAGAGGTCTAAGATGGAGAGATTAGTGAGAAAGAAATACATGGGTGTATGAAGTTTGGGATCCAGGAGGCATACTGTCATGATGGACACATTACCAAAGATGGTGAATGTATAGGATAGTAAGAGGACCACCAAAAGAGGTATTTGCAACCAGGGCCTCTCTGAGAAGCCAAGGAGTATAAACCCTTTTGGGAAACTCTCGTTTGTCCAATGCATGATGGTGAACTTCTTTTATTTTATTTTTATTCCTAAAAGATACAAGAAAGATGCAGTCAGTAAGTTCTTATTCAATGCTCTTATTAGAACAGAAATTGTATTTCTAAACACAGAAGAGGATTTATAAAAAGCCTCAGGAAATACACTATGTTTATCTCATGTTTATCCAGGTCTTCAGTTAAAGACTATATTCCTTGGTATAGTAAATAGTCCCTGAGTTATTTTTTAAATGAAATATTTAGATTTAAATCTTATAAAAAATATATAAAATTATGTGCATAAAGTGTGAATATAAGTCCTCAGTGCATTTCCACTTCTTTCTCTCTCCTTACCTCTTCACCCACCTCAATACACATGTTATAAATAAGTATTGCTTTTAATCAATTCAGAAAAGTTAGGTTGAAATGCTTAGTAAGATAGAGGCTATATGAGTTGTATTTTAATCTTTGATTTACGTAAAGACATTCAGAAATAAAGAAAAAAAGAAATTCTGCTTTTAAGTATTATCTTTATGGTATAATTTTGAACTGTAATTTTCTCTTAATTACCTTTTATGCATGTTCATCCCTCAAAGAACAATCCTGGATATTAGATGTTTTGATTTATGGTAAAAACTTCCTAATTCACAAAATGAAATAGTGACCAAAAATATCTTTGCTCTCAGTCTGCAACTGTACTTTGATGAAAATATTAAAATTGATATCCTTTCTTTTTAAATTTCTTTTTGTATTGTCAAGGTGACGTGCAAAGAAGTAACAGTTACATAAGTATGATAATGAATACATTTCTTGTCAAACTTGTTGCTGCTTCCCTCATTTTTCTCCTACATCCACCCCATATTTTTTTTATAACATAACAGAAACTTCTCATTAACTAACATACACTCTTTCTAATTCTTATTCACAGTAGGTATTCATTATACTTTTTTCCTTTTGTTCTAGTACTGGTGCTTGAACACAGGCTTTTGGTTGGCTTTTCTGCTCACACCTGGGGCTCTGCCATTTGATTCATATCTTCAGTCCAACATTTTGCTGGTTAATTGGAGATAGAGCCTTGAGTACTTTTCTTGCCAGGCTGGCTTTCAATTGAGATCCTTATATCTCATCCTCCTGAGTAGCTAGAATTATAAGTGTGAACCACTGGCACACATCACAATATACATTTTATTGCTACTGTGAATCAGTAAGAAAAACTTGTACACTCACTAAAGGTTATGCCAAGCCTCAAACCTAGAATGAATAGATTCTTCTTTCCTTGTATATATTTTCCCACAAACATACAGATAACACATATTACACAAAAGTAATCATAAATTAAAATAAGAACTCCATTCAAAATCATATATTCTAGTTGATTTCCTTTATTCTGCAGAAGTTAACAGTTGCTTGGTTTTAGGGCTTAAGCTCCCCTAAATTGCTGCAAACTACTTTGCATTTTAAACATAATATCTTTGAGATGACTTGCAGTATTCATATTTATTAACACACAAATGTAAGACATACATTATATTGTTTTTTATGTACTATGTAATTTTTTTGTTTCTTTTGAATGTTCTTCCCCCTATGGTATATCATCTGTTGTTACTGTATTTGATTTTGGTACCCTGGTATTTTATATACAGTTATTGGAATTAGGGAGGGGAAGAGGAACAACAAAATGGTGAGACAAAAGACAAGGGGGAACCAATGTAACAGCGATATACACAAGACAATATGTTGGAAACGATCTGTACAACTTGGGTGGTGGGGAGAAGGAAAGCAGGAGAAAATGGAAGGAAAGGGTAACAAGGTTGATAAGAAATGTACTCATTACCTTACTCAGGTAGCTGAAAATGCTCTGTACATTACCTTGACAAAAAGATAAACCAAGAAAAAAAAATTAGCCCCACACCTTCAACAGCACACTAGAGAAGGATAGATATTAAACTGTTTTGAAGTGTCACATAAATTTAAAGATCTCTCATTGGCAGTATATACAGAGGTACACTGCATAAATGTTCACTTCAACAGGTGAAAGTAATAAAGATAATTGGTTCCTGGAAATAAATTGGACACTGATTATTTAATGCACTGTAGGATGTGGGTGAGGTGATCTTGAGAGACCTTTCTCATTTACCATAACATAATTGTGTGTAGTAGATACACCACTCACCTTCTTTTTCTAAGTGTCAAAGACAGAGCTACACCTTTCTTTGCACCATGTGTGGAAGGAGGTCTGGCCCAAAGGCAGATTGATAAATGTAATGACGTTTAGAGTTTTCAGCCATTGTGACTTTCTTATTCAGCTACCTTTTGCACTCCAACCAAGAATAAAATTAAGATGCAACTGGGGCTGCATCAAGACCATAAAATGAGGGAAAAATTCTTAGGGTGAGAGTCAAGTGAATTCCAGATCCTGTCATGAACTCTCTTTACTAGTATCTCAATGGCTTCCTATACTGAGAGGCTGGTTCTGGAAAACATTAGCAACATTGCTGCCTTTTCAAAAGCAATGAATATTTACTATGGGCCTACTGTTCATACGATGATGTCCTCTATCCTGAGGGATTTCAAGGTCCCTCAAGTTTAATTGGTCAGTGCGTCCAGAGAGACAATCAGTGACTGTTTCCAACTATGTTGCTGGCATAGTACTGGCACAAAAGTTGTTTCATAATTTCTACAAGTCATTTGAACACTAGGATCATAAAACATAAACCATGAAATATAAAAATAAGTTTAGAATTGTTTGAACAGAAAGAAAATGTGTAAATAAACTCACAGACCTATAATCCTTAAATGATTTCAGGGTAAAACAATCCAATATTATTTATGTGAAAAAAATACACGTTATCTGTACTGGGGTTTGAATTAAGGGCCCTGGCTTCAATTGGCATTTTTATTAATGGCTTTTGCTCTGTCACTTGAATCACTCCTCCATTTCAGCTTTTTGGTAGTTAATTGGAGTTAAGAGTCTCATGGATTTGTCTGCCCAGGCTGAATGTGAACTGAAATTCTCAGATCTCAGTCTTCTGAGTAACTAGGATTATAGATGAGCCACTGGTGCCAAGATGAAAATAATACTTTTGTCCTTTACTGACTCTTGCAATGTGTAATTTTGGAGTACACTTGTCAGAGAAGACCAAGCTAAGATATTGTGTCAAACATAATCACACACTGAATTAAGATGTAACACACTGAAATTGAAGATGAGCAGTCAAAATCATGAGGCAGAAAAAAATAGAGATGATATGAAATTGCCACAGGATTAGTTTTTGGGAATAAATTGATTCAGTATGTACTTATATAAGGACTTAGTAAAATAAGGAAAGATTTATCTCAAGTAAACATTTGTAGGTCTTCTTTTAAGAAGAATTTATTAATAGATTTTTGCCTATTAAAAACATGTTTTCTGTTTTCTTACTACTGAGCTTATTATTTGCTTTGAATTTTAACCTCTTACCAGATTTATGATATACAAATATTTTTTCTTCTTCTGTAAATTGTCTCTTCATTGTATTTATCATTTTCTTGGTTGTACAAAGATTTTTAATTACTCTATCCTATTAGTCTATTTTTCATTTTGTGGCTTGGATTTTTTAGTGTTAAAATGTCATTGCCAGACCAATATTATTCCCAAATATTTCGTCCCTACTAGATTTATGATTCCTGGTCTTGCTTAACTATTTAATCCATTTTAAGTTGGCTATTAAAAGGCTGATTTCATTCTTCTATATATGAATGTTAAGCTTTCTTCCCAATATTATGAATTAATGGCAACTGAGAAAATCAATTAGCATACACATATATATATAGATGTATGCTTACATGCGAACTCTATTCTATCTTTTTTTTTCTTTTGGGTCCAGTTGTGGGGCCTGAACTCTGGGCCTGGGCGCTGTCCCTCAACTCTTCAGCTCAAGGCTAGCAGTCTACCACTTGAGCTGCAGCACCACTTCTGGCTTTTTCTGCTTATGTGGTCCTGAGGAATTGAATCCAGGGCCTCATGCATGCAAGGCAAACATTCTACCACTGAGCCATCTTCCTAGCCCCTATATTCTATCTTACATGAAGATATATCAGTGTTTTTTAAAAATCAATATTATGCTTTTTAAGCTGTAGCTTTAAGGAATAGTTTGAATGAGGTCAAATGATTCTTCCAAACTTGCTAGTTTTGGTCATGACTGCTTGCTATTTGAGTTTTTATTATAATCCCATTGGAATTTTAGGATTATTTGTTATATTTCTATGGAATAGAATGTCATTGGACTTTTAAAAACATAGATTGCATTGAATGTCTGGATCATTCAGAGTAGCATGGAACAACTTAAAAATATTAGTTTTTCCTATCAATGAACACTGGCATCTTTTTATTTATTTGTGTCTTCCTTGGTTTCTTTCATTAATGTTTTATAGGTTTCAATGCACAGTTTCACAAGGTAAGATGAACAGCCTGTTTAAATAACCAGGAGTGTGTGGCATGGAAATAGCATCCAAATGAAGGATTAGATTTCCACCAATCACAGAACTGTTTCCAGTTACACCAATTAAGGCCTTGTATAAGAACCACTCACAGGCCTTACTTATGGACCAATTACAGGTCTCACATTGCATCAATCATAAGGTTTTCCCCCAGCACCCTGAGCAGAGTAGTTGTAGAGTGAATCACATAGAACTCACTGAGGCTTGTTTAGTTTGATGGCTTCTAAGGCCAGTGCAGGTTGTCTGGAGCAGTCATAACTGGAGCAAGGCCTTCTTGAGCATAAGTCCTAGCTTTAGTGGTAGTATTGCTAACAGGTGGAATAAAGCATTCCTCAGAGTTACAGGGGAGGAAGTAAAGCAGTCAGTCTGTATTGGAGTCTAGTTGTCTCTCAAGGGGCTTCTTGTCTAGTTGCTCCATATTTGAGGCAACAAGTTATTAGAACATTCTAGTAACTGTGTCTTTCTCTCAATAGTTCATGTCATTTGAAGGGAGAAAAAAAACAAGAAAAAGCAATCAACATTCTTAGCACTATTGCGATTTAATTGT